TTCATAATTGTTTTTATTAATTTCTATGTGCCATTGGACCTGGACACAGAGCTTGCAGTAGAACAGTCTCCAAAAAGCCAGTGATACAGACTCAAAAATGGATTCAAGGATTTTAACCAACACAATGACTTTGTTTTAGAATGGCTTAGGTACTCAGAAATAAAATATCTGAAATATTAAAATATTTTGTACTTGAAATATTTTTGTACTGAACACGACCATTCCTGTTATTCAGTGGAGCAATCTTCCCCTTCCACCAAACCATTTTACAGATTCATCGCCAAGCTTAAACAGTTAAGATGTTTCTGAAGAGGTGAAGTCTCTTTGGAACAAGACTTTGGCATCATGGCCACTTATTTGAATCATGGCCACTAATTTGTTTTATTTATTATTTGATTAATTCATTTTCTATTCTTCCTTCCCTTCCAAGCAATAGCTGCTTCTGCCAGGGACTGAAAGAATATTTCCCCATGGGAGGGATAGGGCAGAATTCTTATTTGAAGGGGGAAATGGCCTCATTTCCCCCCACTCCCATAGCTTCTTGCTTGGGTTAGTTCATCAGGAGGGATAGCAATCCCCTCTGCCACCTCTTTCAGATTTCTTTCAGGTTACCTTCAGTCCTCCCAGCTGGGCAGTGAAAGGCAAGAATAGGTAGTGTCTGTAACAATATACTTTGTGGGTAATCTCTGCTGCAAAGCAAAATATTTTTTTAATGGCTTATGTTGTTCCTTGAATGGATTTGGGACCAAATATAATTTGGGTCCCATATTAGGAGAAAGGCAGGATATAAATTAAATAAAATAAACAATATAAAATTATATACAATTTATTTCATAAAATAAAATGATATAAAATTGAGGGGGCTCAGTGCAAAATTGTAGTATGCCCTCCTACTCATCCCACAGAGTCAATCTTATCAGCCATAAAAAAGTTCTTGTTTTAATTCTGAAATTACACTATGTCCTGCACTGGCTCTTTCAATCATGCCTCCAAAACATCTTTCTCTTCTTCCTTATTTTGAGTTACAGAAGTGCATCAAGAGTTTTCCTCTTCTTTCTTTTGGGCATCTGTAAAAGTCTTGACTCCTTCACCTTAGGGTCACCATATGTGGGAACTACTTGAAGTCACACAACAACAAGAACAATGACAAGAACAACTTCCTCATCAAAGTCCCATCACATCATACCAATGGCCCATGTACAGAATGCAAGAAAATTATGCAGGAAACTTATGAACATACATCTGTACATAAGTAGGACTGTTTCATGTTTCCACCAAGTGTACAGTTAATGAAGTGTGACTGGTGGGGGATGCTACCTCGATGTTATGGAATTCTGGGATTTGTAGTTTGATGAGGCATTAGAGCTCTCTGAGAGGAAGGGCCCAATATCTTGGAAATCTAAAAATCCCCAAATTTCAAAGCATTGACTCATGGCAGTTAAAGTGGTGTCAAACCACTTTATTTCTGCAGTATGGCAGCAGCCTAACTTTTCAAACATTTTGTAAATGTATGATTAGGGTCACAAGAGCCCATTTGCTCACGTTTACCCACAAAGCATCATGCTGAAGTGGGAATCTGGACTCCGGTCAGTGTGGTGTAATGGTTTGCATGTTGGAGTACAATTCTGGAGACTAGGGTACGATTCCCAGCTCAGCCATGAAATCCACTAGATGATCTTGGGATCTTGCTTTTAACTTCAGGAAAAGCCAATGGCAAACCTCCCATGATAGGTTCACATTAGGGTCATCATATGTGGGAACTGCTTGAAGCCACACAACAACAACAACTTCCTCATCAAAGTCCCATCACATCACACCAATTTCCCATCACATATATCACCAGTTGTTATTGTTTTTGTGTACCTTCAAGTCATTTCTGACTTATGGTGACCCTAAGGCAAACCTATCATGGGGTTTTCTTGGCAAGATTTGTACAGAGGGGGATTGGTTTTGCCTTCCTCTGAAACTGAGAGAATGACACTTTCCCAAGGCTACCCTGTGGCTTTCCATGGCTGGACAGTGATTTAAACCTTGGTCTCCAGAGTCAAGGTTCAACACTAAAACCACTACACCACACTGACTCATACATATCACCCTATGAGATATCACCCACTTACTTCTCACTCTGACTCCTCATTAAAGAAAACAAACTCGCTAGGGGTTTTATCTCCTCCATGTACATACTCCAATATCTTTTTGAGTCCTAAGGATTTGTACCACAAAAATGGTGGCACACTGCACGGCATAGCATTCTACTAATTTCAATGACCTTTGGGAATAACTTTGACCAAATGATTTGTAGTAAACTGCAGGTTTCCTTTGCTTACATCCCCTCTCCTCTATTTCTGCTACTACTACAGGAAAGAGGGAGGGAGGAATACAATCAGGCAGCAGTCAAGCAATCATCCTCACTGCAGCTAAGAAG